TCAGTCATTTCAAATTCATGCATCATATTGTCTTTGAATTCTTCAATAAGTGACAATGAAGACCCAGTATAAATGATGTCATCAACATATACACAAACACTAAGAAATTCATCCTTACATTTCTTCTTCAAATATAATGTGAGTTCATTTGCACTTCTTTTAAAATGGTTTCGATGAAAATAACTGACAATTCTGCCATACCATGCTCTTGCAGCTTATTTAAGGCCATAGAAAGCTTTTTTTTAATTTATAGAACTTCTCTTCTTTGCCTTTAACTCTAAACTCTCTAGACTCTTCAAGTTGAATTACATACACATCCTCTTCAAGTTTTCCATTTAAAAAGGAAGATTTGGCATCAAGTTGATAAACAAGTCATTGCTTTTGAGCTGCAACTACAAAAAATTTCCGAACAATTTCTAATCTTGCAACAAGGGAAAATGTTTCAAAGAAATAAATACCTTGTTGTTGTGCGTATCATTTAGTTACTAATCGAGCTTTATGCTTTTGTACACTTCCATCAGCATTGTATTTTGTTTTGAATATCCATTTTAGCCTAATCGCATTTTTCCCTTGAGACAAATCTACTAAGTCCCATGTTTGATTTCTTTCAATGGCCATCATCTCCTCTTTCATTGCCTCTCGCCATTCTTCCTTTTCAACTACTTCCTCAAAACTTGTTGGATCTACAACAAAAAGAGCAAAGCTTTTCTGGTAAGGATCTAAGTCTCCTTGGTGGGCTTTCTGAGGATATGTTTATAGGCAAATCATTTGCCATTATTATTTCCAAAGTCACTTGAAGTGCAAATTGATCTTCCTCCAATTGTCATCAAATTCAAAATCACGGGGTGTGATTATTTTTTTAGTTTTTGGGTTATACAACCGATACCCTTTAAATTTTGAACTATATCCAAAAAATATACATTTCTCACTTTTGTCATCCAAATTTCTTATGTAGTTCAGAATTGACAAATGCATGGGCATTGCAATCAAACACTTTAAAAGTGACTTACATCAGGTTTCATTCCACTCCAATGTTGATATGGTGTTTGATTTTGTATTGCCTTTGTTGGAGATCAATTCAACAAATAAACCGAGGTAACCACAGCTTCTGCCCAAAAATCATTTGGACGATTTTTTGCTTTTAACGAACTCCTTGCCATTTCAACAGAGTCATGTTAACCTCTGGTGTATAATGAGCGGTGAGTTGTCTGTAAATACCATTTTCTTTACAAAATGAGTCAAATTCATTTGAAACAACTTTACCACCTCTGGTACACAAAGTCTTCATGGAAAAATCACTTTGCCTTTTAACCAATGCTTTGAATCTTTGAAACATTTGAAATGCCTCTGATTTTGGTTTTAGAAAATATACCCAACACATTCTACTAAATCATCAACAAATGTCAAAAAATATTTGTTGTCACTTAAGGATTTGGTTTGCCTATGCATTTGTAAATTCTGAACTACATAAAAAATTGGATGACAAAAGTGAGAAATGTATATTATTGGATATAGTTTATAATCTAAAAGGTATCGGTTGTATAACCCAAAACTAAAAAATTAATCACAAGCCGTGATGTTGAATTGGATGAAAATGGTTGTCGAGATTGAGCAAAACCATAGAGGAAAATAAATCTCCACTTCCATTGATTTTGGAAAATAATAATGGCACAAAAATTTGTAATGATTTGCCTATTAGTACATCCTCATAAAGCCTACCAAGGAGACTTAAATCCTTACAAGAAATTTATGAATCTTGTAGCTTCGCTCTTTTTGTTGCAGATCCAACACGTTTTGAAGAAGCAGGTGGGAAGGAAGAATGGCGACAGGCAATGAAAGAGGAGATGATGGCCATTAAAAGAAATCAAACATGGGACTTGGAAGATTTGCCTCGAGAGAAAAATGCAATTCGGCTGAAATGGATATTCAAAACAAAATACAATGCTAATGGAAGTGTACAAAAGCATAAAGCTCGATTAGTAGCTAAAGTATACACACAAGAGCAACATATTGATTTCTTTGAAACATTTCCCATGTTGTAAGATTACAAACTGTAAGGACAATTTTAACAATTGTAGCTCAAAAGTAAAGGCATGTCTATCAACTTGATATCAAATCTGCCTTTTTAAATGGAGAACTTGAAGAGGATGTGTACGTGGCTTAACCTAAGGGGTTTAGAGTTCAAGGCAAAGAAGAGAAGTTCTATAAATTAAAGAGAGCTCTTTATGGCCTTAAACAAACCCCACGACTATGATATGGCAGAATTGACAGTTATTACCTACAAGTCGACCCGACCAGGATTGGATATGAACCCAGACAATGGACTCGACAAATCGGGCTTGGATCTTCTTGACCTAGACCCAACCTGACTAGGGTCCAGGTTCTGGGTCCAACTAGGACCATATCAGGTCGGGTTGGGTTTCGGGTTATGTAAGGTACATACAAATATATAATAAATATGTGAAACAAAAAGTAACATTATGTTTTATATTTTTTTATTGCTAGACCCTGGTAGATCGGGTCCTACTCCAACGGGCTTGGACCCAACCCCTTCCGGGTCTATCCTAAATCAAATCTGGTTCAAGTCCATGTCCAAGTCGATCTGGACACAACGCGACCCATTCCCAACCCTAGCTATCTCCTCCTGATGTCCCATCTGTTGCGACATCTCCTCCTTCGGGCACTAGATCCCCTCTCTGGTTTCACTTGCATACACATAGCTCCATATCATTCTCTTGAGATTGCTTGCCAATCCAACTTAACCACTCTTCCACATGCTTTGTCAATCTCCAAAAAAGCCTCATTGCTCCATCCTTTGAGGGTATTGTTCTTTTTGCCTCCAACTACAGCAATACAGGTTTCTATAGAGACCTTGAAACTTCTAGGGTCGATTTTAGAGAGAGATCTGTATCTATGTATTTCCATTTCCACATTGCAAGCAGTTTGTTAGTGTAAGCACACAGGAGCTTAAAATGAAAAGGATATTTCCATTATCCAAGGTTTTGCAGAACACTGGAAATTAGTTCCCCGTTCCTTACTACCCCCCAAGATGCAATACCCTTCTCATTATGTTGCTGTGGCTGAAATCTGGTAGTAATTGTAGATTTAAGCAGCTTCTCCCTTTCATTATGGATTTCACCCCAACTATGGTATAGATTCTTCAGTTTTGATGTTCTAGTGCAGAATGAGTTTTGCAGCACACATAGGTTTTTGCAGTAGAATTCTCTCTTTCTTTACAAAGTCATTGGAACCTTAGCCTTTGAGAAATACAAAGAATGGGTGTATATCATCAGGAACAGAGATGAATCTTGGAAGAGAAGTCTAATTTGTATTTTGGGGCTGTATAGTAATTGATATAATGTCAAGAGGATTAGAAATCATCAGTAAGTGATGCATAGATCATAAGTTAAGTCTCAAATTCTTATAGATCATAAGTTAAGTCTCAAATTCTTACTTTACTAACATGGTTCAGGCATAAGTTTACCCATAAAAAGGATCTCCAGCACTAGTGTATTCTTAGTTAGAAAGGGTATCAGTTCTCATATGGGTATTGCAATTGCGTAATGATTTGATTTAATGTAGCATGAAACCATAAACAATGGCTGTTAATGGAGAGCTGAATTTTGTCAAGGTGCTTGTTGCATACTTGCATTCTTCATTGATTGTTTCATCTAATTCATCATTCTCGGGGCAGTTTACGAAGGATCATGTCCAAAGGTTTGGTAGGTTTTAATGTTCTCTAAAACATTCACTACACATATGTTAAGAGCAGTAATCGAAAATTTGGCCTCCTGGCTACCTAGGCTGTCAAAGCAGAGACTAGGTGTGGACCCTAGTGGCCATATGCCTAGGCAACCGCCTTTTGCCCAAGGTGCCTGCCTAGGCAATCTAAAGACAGGTGGATTTGCCCCACCTTAGATTCCCTTAAAAATAAAAATAAAAATAAAAAATAAAAAATAAAAAAAAGGAAGAAGAAGAAGAAAGAAAGTACGCTGTCTTGGGAATTCGGTCTCTTATCAAGATAGCTGTCTTGGGAGAGAGAGTACAGTGCTTTTATTCGAAGAGAGAATTTGATCTTTATATAGAACATTTTTACCATAGTTTTACTTTTATTCCTTCTTTTAGAAAAATAAGTACCATTTTTATCATTAGAAGAAATAAAGTACAGTTCTTTTGCTTAGGGAGACGGAATTCAGACTTTCGAGAGATTGAGTTTTTATTGTTGTACTTTATTTATTTAGAGAAAAAGTTCCTTTTCTCATTTTTGGGAGAGAGTAAGTACATATCCTTTATTTAGAGAGAAATTTTGGTCTTTAGAGAGGGAGAGAGTTTTATTATAGTGGTGCTTTTGTACATTAATTTTAGAGAGAGATAAGTATCATTTTAAAATTTTGGGGGGGAGAAACATTATGGTTCTTTTACTTTAGAGAAAATTCAGTGTTTAGAGAGAGTATATAGTAGTCGTACTTTTGTTCATTTGTTTTAGAGAGAGAATAAGTACCTCTTTTTAAATTTTTGGTGGAGAGAGAACCTACGGTTCTTAAATGAGCACACGATCATGACTAATATTAATTTTTTATGCAACTCAACAGGCTTGACATTAATAATAATTGAAAGAACGAGTGAGAGCTTTTCCTCGACCCTCTCTCCTCTTTGGCAACCTAGGAATCAAGGTGCCCACCAAGGATGCCACTCACCGAATCCAAATTCTTGAACATCAGTTAAGAGGAAGGAAATTTAAAGTAGACTATTGATCAGATATACTCATCAAGTGAGCCTTTACTTATCAAATGAGAGTAAGAATAATAATCAAGAGAGGCTCCCTCCCAAACTCACACCAAAATTTACACATTAAAGAGCATATGCAATCAACAATTATGACTACATATACTTAAATAATAAGTTCTTAACAAGATTATCATGTACCTAAACTTCCCCAACTCAAAACTAAAAAGTAAGAGATTAACATTTCAACATAAAACACATGCCATACAACTCACCTCATGCTCGGGTTGATTCTGATAGCCCATGTTACGCCACTGGGCAATAGTCATACCATGGAAAACAACAATGCTGAAGTAGGCATCTAGCAGCAATATATGATCCGCTGAAATGGAAGCAACATCCAACAATGCTGGTGAAGGAGGTGAGTTGAAAGAATATGATATCAGGGAAGGCTGGATCATGACCACTGAGTTGGTGACATTCTCCCGGTTGAGCAACATGCGGAAATAAGCCGTCTCATCTGGACTATTGTTAAAAACCTAAAAAATAAAGACGTTTACATAAAAGCAGTTCTCCAAAAATATCAAATAGAACTAGTAGCAGTTCAGAATTTCTAAAACTCTTTTTCATGAGCACACCTGTACGAACTGGGAACGCCGCAGATTAAACATAAATTGCGGAAATATTGCAAAACTTGGGTTTAAAGTAAAGGAAGACGGGTCATCTTTCCGATAATCGCCAAATCTTGAACACAAACGTATAAGTGAACGATCCAACCACCTTGTTGCATCAAACTCTTCCTGCATAAGACCAAGAATTAGAAAGAAAGCCCCACTTGAATAAACATATATAGAGAAAACAACGGAAGAATTCTTAAAGATCACCTCAAAAATGTCAGTATCATGAACTGCAATTTATAGGAGACCCCCATGAAATACAGAAACTCAAATGCAAGATGCAACAAAAATATACTATATGAATAGTAAACCCAAAACTTTCAAGTCAAATCTGGACAACAGGAGAAAGTTTAGATAAGATCTCAAATCAAAAAAATTTGACACATCAAAAAGCATAGTCCATAGGGAGTTCACTTAAAATACAAGGATACCACCAAGAAAACAGAAGCCCAGTTATTTGGTTAAGTGGTAGCCATAATATAAGCTGGAAACATTGAGCTTCTTGAAAACATTTCACAGCAATAGTGAGTTGCTCAACTTCTAAGCATCCCAAAATCATCCTGCCCTTTTGAAAAGATAAAACAGCAGGAAATTTATTTCTACCATGTAGATAACACATTACAGCAAGTATTTTTTATCATAGAACAGGGGATTACTTCACATGATTCCCATGTGCCAAGGCCTAGTAAAAATTAACACATGAGCCCAACCATCTCAAACCGTTCCCATTTCCTAGAGTAGTTCAACCACAAGGCTGTATTAATGAAAAGTACGACCTTTCAATAACCATCAGTGTTTCAAAAGATGATAGGCGGCCAGCCTAGCGCCCCTGCCAAGGCAATAGGCCAGCGCCTAGGCGGGTGCTCTGAGGAGAAAATTTGCATATATGTGCTATTCAAAAGCACATATATGAAATTTTTAAAAAAATTGGTATTTGTTTTGCATTTATATGCATTCTAACTAACTTTTTCCATGGAAATATATGGCATGAATATTACAACGCATTCAAAACTTAAAATCATTGAAAATTTTGTGAAAAAAGTAAAAAGTATGACCTAGTCCATGGTGTATTAACGTCCAACCATCCAATCCAAACTGAGTATGGCATACTTCATACTGACACATAAACACAATCACAACTAGACAAGATGAAATATAAAAGAGAACGAATAGCCCAAATGTCCAATACAAGAGGATGGAACACTCTAAGACAAGATGAAATACAAAAGAAGAGAAGAGATCTTTCTTTTTGCAATGGTCGCTAGGCAGAATACCCCCAATGTTCATTTATGAAAATTCTGTGTATCAAAATGACCCAAAGTGCCCTTAGGGGCCATCCAAATTACAAAAAAGCTGCCAGGCTTGGGCATGCGCCGAAAGGTCCTTCTGGCAGTTAGGCAGCCGCCTAGGCACCAGGCAATCCGTTTTTTGAACAATGGGAACCATTAATGGTGAAAGAACAAGTAATTCAGAGACATATATTTTCATATCAACTCCCCACTAAAATTCAAAACCCATCTATCCCGTGAAATAGTCATAAAAAAAGCCCATTGACATGATCATGTACCTAATCCATATCAATATCAATTATCAGTGTACTTTCTTTATGCCAAAAGCCAATACATTTATGCGCAACAAAAACCCAATCCAAAAAGTTATCATGGACAAGGCACCCTGATGCAGTATGAGGTAGGACGGAACCGACGGGAAGATGTTGTTGACGAATTTATGAGGCTTGCAGGTCTAGTTTCACTTAAATTCTCCAAAATTTCGACTTTAGGTATGAATGAGAAAAAGGTGGAGCCTAGACCCATGTTTAATGTCTAGAGATGAAATGCACAAGATCAATCTTACTGATGCCCTGTTACAGAAGAAATCCTAGGTGCTACATCTCTAACCCTGCTTAGTCCAAAAACTGCTCTCCAAACTTCTTTGATCTACAATGCTCTGAGGACCTTGACTAAAAGGATTCAATATATCTGGAGAGTACAATTCATATATTGTTGCATATTATGTTCCGGCCACTGTTCTTGCAAACATGGCATATTGACCTACTAAACACAACAGTTCTAATATTTGTCATCAAGAATAGAGAAATCAGTAAACACAAATTCAACCTGAGAATATCCTACCAAAAACAAGCCTAATATAGAGGCTAAAAATGTAAAATACGAGTAGAGGCTCATAGCTACGACCAATTTCTACATGCCAAAAATCTTTCAGAAATGCTTCTCAAGTAACTAAGGTACAAAAAATTCCCAAAAACCATAAAATCTGACAGCATGAGCTCCACTGCCATGTTAGGAATGAAATGTATGGGAGCAATAATGTGCACAAAATAGCCCATCGTATAGTGCTGACAATTTAAGGGCATGTTCAGAAGCGCGAAATACCCTGTAAGCTATGATACCTGGCATATACATAATATCTATATAATTGTTTGATAATGTGCCTACAAATACATTCGAGAAAGTTGAATAAAAGCTCTCTCTCTCTCTCTGTCTCTCTCTCTCTCTCTCTCTCTCTCTCTCTCTCTTATATATATATATATAGAGAGAGAGAGAGAGGGAGAATCTGAGGATGGCCCACCAGCTAACAGCTACAGTGTTAGCCCAACGACCCACATTGAATAGGGTCAATCTGACAGTCACGAAATCATTTCGTAATAATATTTTAATATTTTTCCTATAAATACAAAATCAAATGAAATTTTAGGCGTCTATTCTTCTCATCAAGGCGCACCTAATAAAAATTTTAAAGAATAATTCGTAAAATATAAATTGACCAAAATACCCCTAAAAAGTTTCAAGTGTATTTCGGCCAATTTATTTTTTGTGAATTACTTTTTTATGTTTTATTAGATTCTCTTATTTTTAAATAATAAACACTGTAATTTGGATTTTTAGAAAAAAATTAAAATATGAAAATGCAATTGTGACCATTGGATCGGCCTAGATTCAACCTAGGCCATTGGGCTAACATTGTAGTTGTTAGCTAGTGGGCTAACAACATCGATATATATATCAAACTATTAAGGGTTGGCTATACAAATCTTGTTCCACCATTCCGCTCTATCAAAGGTCATACCCTCAGTCAAACCACAAGGACGTCACTTATAGGGAACGCCCTAGCATGAGCATAAAACATAGGTTCAGGATTCAGGAAAAGATGTGGCAAAGTTTTATACTATATGCTTTACCTAAAACAACCCTCCTTTATCCGAGCTTGGGACCAACATGACTGGCATGGGACCGGGCATGGTAGAGTTAATATATATATATATATATATATATATAGGAAAAAGATTTTCTAAGCTACTAGCTATAATGAATAATATAAGCTACTAGTTCCCAACCGTCAGATCTTCATCGCGTGGTTCAAAATTCATATCACTATTTTAATTTTAATGTTTTTTCTATAAATCAAATTAAGATGAAATTTTGAGTGTATATACCTAACACTATTGCGCACCGTATAAAAATATAAAACAATTACTTCCAATAATTTAAAATGACCAAATTACCCCCATTATTTTTCAGGGTATTTCAATCAGTTTATATTTTAGGAAATATTTTTTTATTGTGCGCCCTATTGTTTAATACACACATCCAAACTTTCATTACGATCTGATTTCTAGAAAAAATATTAAAATTCAGATAGTGATATGAATTCTGAACCACCCGATGAAGATTTGACAGCAAAGAGCTAGTAGCTTATACTATTCATTATAGCTAGTAGCTTAGGAAATCTTTTTCCATATATATATACACATACACATACATACAGAGATGCATACATACATACATATATACTATATGTAGAATAATTGTTTCATGCGTTATTTCAAATTGTCTTAGTAGCTTTCTCCCTGAATTTCACATTGAAGCCTACTGCACTGTTTCTTCCCAATATACCCATTAATTTTGCACGATTTCAAATTAGCCACTCAGATTCATGGCCATCAAGAAGAGCAGTGACAGCACATTCACTCCATTCATCTCCTTAACCCTTTCATGGATTTAGATGGCTCAGATTTCTTTGATTTGGAGAAGTTGGAGATAATCTGGTAGGATGGAAATCAGCCTAAAAGCCCTCTAGCATTAGATGGTGGGCCCTTGCAGGGCCTCCATCTAGTCAAGGTCCAAAAACCCTACTACCAGGCTTTTACATGCTTCCTCTCTCCAAAAAAGATCGAGTGAGAAAAGAGTGGAAGATACAAAAAAGGGGAAGAAAGCAAAATCGGAAGAGATAAATTCAAATGAGAATATGCAAAAAAGATAGAGACAAGTGAAGAACCTTTAATCACATGAGCACAGTCAACATTCTCAAAAACATAGAGGTAAAAGCTGAAATCCAAAGATATAGAGAGGAGAAATGAAAATCCAAATTCGAAAGATTGAGAGGAGAGAGAAATAATAGGCCATTCCAGAGGGACTAAAGAGAGAAGGGAGGTAGAAAATAGATATGAAAGCTTAATTGTAGAGAATTGCAAGGGAATGGGATGGAGAATTTAGAGAATGGAGGTTTGTATAAGGTTGCCTCCTTATACTGTAGAAGTGAGGCGCACCTCTAAAATTTGCTTAGAGATGTCGTTTTGGTGTCGGAAACCTTATGATGGCTTAAAAATCTATTTTCATCCCCAATTATAAAATTAAAAATTTTAAAAATGATTTAGATCAAGCAGATCAATAAACACTTGAAAATCTTGAAAATAGACCGTTTAGATAACTTGTTACATTTACATTATTTTTTGGACTTAAAATTCTTTTCTTCTTCATGTCCATACATCTCAAGGTCGAGATGATCAATTGGAGGGTTCCTCAATGCCGGAACACCCTCTTCTATAGGAATTTTGAGGTGCACCTCGCTTGAATAGTATAAGGTTTGCTTAGATAAGGGTTAGCTATATCTCTCTAGATGACCTCATCCAAACAACATATACGACAATATGCAAATACACCTGCCTATATAATTGTAAATACCAAGCAACCAGAAAGCCATATTATACAAAATATCCTAATTTTACACAGAGTAATATGCTCCTGATAGAATTAACTTCCACTCGAACAGGCCCTAACAAACCAAACAGGAAAGCTCATTATATAAAAGTTTAAACACCACTTTTCTACCAGATATAAACACAACAAGACACTCTTGAACAAAATGATGGCTTCCACAAACTCACTCGGATCCCCCTATTCATAAACCCACTATCCTGTCTAGTTCTCTAAAGGAATGTGCAAAATAAGTTTATATAAAGTTTATATGGAAAAATCATCAAATCATCTAAACTTTCAAAATTATCATTACTACTTTCACCTCAAATGTTTTACCCAAAAAAAGTAAAAACACGAATAAGACTTGCACTCACAGTAGTAAAAGATCCCAAGTGACAGTGAAGCACGTAAGCTATGAGGGGTCCTGAGCACTTAGGGTATTCTAAGCTGCCTCCTCCAGTTCTAAGGTGGATGGAAATAGAAAAAAGATCCTTTTATTTCTTCTATTTTTTGATTGGATACAAATTAAAATATGCATGACACCTTTTTCTATTATAAAAATATATAATGTCTTTTCTTTGAGTTCAAGGTAAACTAGACAATAAGAGCACCAAGTCGTCTGCATAGCTTTAACATAACCCCAGCTCTTTGATGTCAACAAGGGACGGCCAGGAGTTCTTAGACTACTTAGAATTCCTGGAGTTTTCATTGCTTCACAGTTAGTTTTGAGATGAAGGTTATGAGAGTGGCGTGTTTTCTGGGTATTGAGTCAAGATATTGCAGGAATTTGATGACTCCCTAGGGCAGCACAGATAAATTACTGAGGTGCTGAAGAAGTATGGTATTAGTTGTCAACCAATGAAAACTCCAAAGAGTCTAAGTAGTCTAAGAACACGTCCTGACACTAATTTTGTTAAGGTTCACCCCTTGAACAAAAAATGTTGTGGATGACACTCGTGCCTCCTCTGCACCAAGGCCGACACTCTCTGGTGTTTCATACTCTCTTCACAATCACCAGTGAAGAAGCCTTTATTCTATAAAAGCCATGTCACTCTGCACAAGTCATCACACTCGAGGCATCAAGTGGCAGTGTGAAATAGAAGCCACTTTCATGTGGAATCAAATCGCATCAAGCGACAAGGCAGCAGAGTGCTATTTTCATGGACTTTGAGTAAAGGAACAGCACAACCCTCTCGTCTGTTTTGCATCAGATGGCTGGGATGATGTCAGGCACTGTACAAAACTTCAATGCTCACATTGTATAAGAACTTATATTTATGCATAATCCGAGATGTAGGGTGCAAGGTCACCTCCAACATTTAAAAACTCTGGCATCTCGCCGCCTAGGAGGTCGAGGCACCGTACCGCACCACATAGCCTTGGGCAGGCGCCTAATGCGCTTGTTACGAAAGGAGAGCACCTTTTGGGACAACGCACTGCCTAGGCAAGCACTTGGAGGGCGTCTCAACCCCCCTCAGAGGAAGAAGAATGAGGTTTCCTTGTTAACAAGTTATGTGTCCTCATTTTCTTATTTCTTCATGTCTACTATTACAAGTGTCACTTGCAGTTATAAAGATACTCCTCATCACATGCCTACCTCCCACAATTTTCAAAATTTGAAGGGACTACCTTGATAGCTGTGCCTATCACTCCATGAATTCTATATTTGAAAAGTAACCTATCACATGCATCCCTCTCCACATAGTGAAGTATGGGAGATTTACCAATTTAACATTGCGTATTGAGCAAATAATTATTGGAAAGGAATAAAACTAAAAAGAGAAGAAAGTTCTAAATGATAAAGAAGGAATTCAATAATGTACTACTTGCTGCAAAATGTGTCCATGCCATTCATCCATCTTTCTCTCTCTCCCTCTTCCCCAAACCCCTTCTCACTTATATGTCCCCCAAACATTTATTCTCTCTCCTTTTAAGCCCCTCTCTCTCTCCCCTCTCAGGAATTTTACACCAACTAGTCAAGGATATAGTTGAACAAAATCAAATTTTGGGACCCCAAGGACTTCAAAATGACAACACCCTGCCACAACAATCCCATGCCATGTCCATCTTAGCATCACAACCGTCAAGAAGGCGTAATCGCAGCCACCCAGATGTCATGCCAAAATTTTCTCCCCTCTTCTCTCTTAAGAGGCTCAGACCCGCACCCCCTCCTCTATCTTCAGCTGCCTAGTGAACCAGGTGGCTCGCGTAGGCGGCCAGGATCCCTAGCCGCCTTGGTGGCCGAAGCTGCATTTTTTAACATCGGGAACCTCTAAACATCTCAATCACAGCTCTTTAAAGCTACCATGAAGGTTTGTCAAGTATCGACACCAAATTGTTTTGGTTCCCGCACCTTTTTCCGATATTTTTTTTTTTTTCCAAAGCTGAAGAAATTTAGGATTCAAATGAAACGCAGAGTTAAGTGCACTTTGAGGATTCCTTTTAAGCTCTTTGAAAGAAGGAATAAAAAAACACCACATGACTCTTGGGCTAGTTCTGCCTTGAGGTCAAAAACATCTAAGCATTCAGCAAATCTGGGTAACCTGGGTCTAGGCATGTTCAATGGGGCAGGAGGACACATCATAATCCAATACATGTGCCCATCTATCTTATGAGGAATCACAGAGTCCCTAGATAGTCCTTTTGAGACCTGCTTCTAAATCAATCATAAAAAGTACTTTAACAGGCAACTAGACAATAAAAAAGTCAAAAATCATTTGAATAAGTGTTGAGACGACTTTCTTACGCATTGAAAAATACTCTGACCTTTTTTTTTCCAAGTGTAAAATATTCCAAGTTGCATGGACCATATTTTGATGAACTTTTCTCACAGTATATCCAGCCAATTTCAAAAAAGACATAATGCAGATTGAAAACTAAATGAAGATTCGGCACCCAGGATCAGATGGTCTAACATTGGGAAATGATAAAATTTAGCAGTTTGCTATGATATTTTATCTAGAAAGATCAGTAATGGTTATCATTTTTACAAAGCTCAATCAATAAGCATACACCAGCTACTTGTTCTTAATCACTTCCTCATCCAAAGATGTCATGTTATTATAAATTTCAGTATCGATTGGCATTTCCCACAAGAGTGGATAATTAGATACATCTTGCAAGCAGTTTCTGCATTGAGACGTACACTTACAGGCTGATTAGAATTCATCACTTCTCTAAACCTTAACTCATTTAACTGCCAGATAACATTTTTGCAATGATGAACAACATACCTAAATCACTCCTGCAACTCCAGAAATCTGAGCTCATGGCTCAAAGTGAATGATAAATTATGGTCTTTAAACGATGTATTCCAAATCCAAGTCAGCGTATCAAGATATAAAGGAACGAAAATAGGAAAACAACAATCCAAGACCAGTGATGGCTGATTTATCCAGGAGGAGAAGTCCAGACTAATTTAATTTCATATATTGCCACAAGTAATTCATGAAAATATTTCATGAAATTGGAAAGAATAACTGTGTAACATAGTGAAACCAGAAGTGAATTAGTCAAGAGTTTACCTCCATCTCCATTTTCAGTGACGTTAACCTCGCCATCACGACAGCAGCCGTCTCCTGGTCAAATCCTCTCGCCAGCTCCTGCAAGAATGACATGTTTCTACAGGTCAAGGAAACATATCACACACACACATATATATATATATATACATATATATATATATGGAAAAGTCATTCCAACGCCTATAGGCAAAAAAGAATAGTGATTTGGCCTCCCCTCATCACCGTTCAAATTTCATCGCGTGGTCACGATTGTCCGGTAGTGTTTTATTTTCTTTTTTTTTTTTCTACAAATCGGAATGACTTGAAATTTGGAAGGTATGTACATCTTCCTGAGGCGCATCTAATAAAAATAAAAAAAAATTATTCGTGAAAAATAAATTGACCAAAATACCGCCAAAACTTTTTGGGGGTATTTTCGTCAATG